TGCAATACCGTCCAGCAGTACCACATAGAGGATTGCACTAACGCACAGCAATACCACAGCGGATTGCAATACCGTCCAGCAGTACCACATAGAGGATTGCACTAACGCACAGCTGTACCGCATAGAGGATTGCAATGCCGTCCAGCAGTACCACATAGAGGATTGCACTAACGCACAGCAATACCACAGCGGATTGCAATATCGTCCAACAATACCGCATAGAGGATTGCACTAACGCACAGCAGTATCACATAGATTGCACTAACCCACAGCAGTACCGCATTGAGGATTGCACTAACGCACAGCAGCACCGCATAGAGGATTGCAATACCGTCCAGCAATACCACATAGAGAACTGCACTAACGCACAGCTGTACCGCATCGAGGATTGCACTAACGCACAGCAGTATCACATAGATTGCACTAACACGCAGCAGTACCCCATAGAGGATTGCACTAACGCACAGCAGTACCACATAGAGGATTGTACTAACGCACAGCAGTACCACATAGAGGATTGCACTAACACACAGCAGTACCACATAGAAGATTGCAATATCGTCCAGCAATACCACATCGTGGATTGCACTAACGCACAGCAGTACCACATAGAGGATTGCACTAATGCACAGCACCACCACATAGAGGATTGCACTAACGCACAGCAGTACCACATAGAAGATTGCAATGCCGCCCAGCAATACCACATCGAGGACTGCACTAACGCACGCATAGAGGAATGGAATATAGTACAGCAGTTTAGATCAGTGAAGCAGTTTTAAAACACGCGCTGCGCGGTCATTTAATATGGGATGATGTCACACTTGGAGGATCATAAAGTACGCTTGTGATGCATAATTATGTATACCATGTAGCATAGGGAATATGTATTTGTACCGCATATTTTATTAGTTCCATAAGCAACAACATAAATGCAATGATTTAAACTCTCTTGGCACTAAGCAGAATGATAATTCTATAGTATAAGAAGACTAGCATTAGGCTTAGGGAAATATAACCAGATATATGAATATATATATATATGTAGCTATATTAAGTTACAGAAACGATTTTCGACAACGTATCACAATTATTGTGTTTAATTACCTAATCTGTATACATAGGTGGGTTTGTGCATACTGAATCCATTCTCTGTAGTATATAAGTATCTTTCCAAATAGTGTTTGCACGCCCGAAACGTATCTCAGATGATGCAATCATATCAAACAATCAGATCATGACGGTGATTAATTAAAACAGTTAGCAAAACAAATAGTAAATACTATATATTGTTTAAAAGTATATTTATATAAACAGCAATAATGGGTTTACTGCAGCCCAAGATCCATAGTTTGCACTGACATTGATATAGAAATGTATTGCTGATCTACTTCGATACTCAAAGGTCCGTTAAGATTATGAAAGGATTCGTTTGACTGCTAACTGGAATACAGTAAAATCAAAGTAATCAATTACATTGACCTTGTACGCTGAAATTGTCTGTTGTTACCCCTTATCAAAATTATTTTACTTGGAAAATCACTCAAACAAGGCGTGAATAATGAAGGATAAGCTTGTACCATTAATGGATGTCATATTAAAAATTATTCAAATTATAAAGTTCAAAATCTCATCATAAGCTACGTATATTTAATTATTAATATTAAAGTGATTACGTCACGAATTTTCTATGGTAAAATTTGTAAAAAATAATTGACATTTTTTTACATTAAAAGTAAGAACTAACGGGACTAAATGTAGTAAAACATTGAATATAGCAAAACAGGAAGTATAATGCAGCAATTTAACCATAACAAGTGCCGCAGAGCGACAGCGCTCACCTGACAGCAGGTGTTCTGATGCTAAACTCACTGGCAAACGAATCAAGAGCCAACAAATCAATTTTCGGATTACCCCTCCACATCCCAAATATCGTGACCGTACGTCGAGCCGTTTAGATTTGTGACCAACTGTTGACGCACGGACGGACGGCCGGACGCACGCTCATGCGATTCTACAAGCTGCATCTGACTATGTCAGATGAGCTAAAAAGTGAGCAGAATTACTTATATTTTGTGAAAAAGTTGAAATATTTTTTTTAATTTTTATTATTTACGGTGACGTAATCACTTTAACTTATTATTGAATTACATATATACTATACCTATACATTGTGCTTTGGATGACAACTAATGATTGAATTTTAGTATAATAATTCTAACTTCATCACAAATATTCAGGAGCATCACATTAGTCATCTGGGGCTGATATGACTTTGCCTTGCACTCCTGCCAAAGCCATGATTACTATAACTAAAGCTCTAGCAATACCTGTCAGGTGAGAAGCATACATATATCATACGTTTGGGGTTAAATTGACTACGTCATGAATTTTCTAGGATAAAAAAAAATATAAAAAAAATTGACATTTTTTTACATTAAAAGTAAGAACTACACGGACATTAATAACAAGTATCGTCAAAATTTCCTATACCCGGATAAGATTGTTGCTTTAACTACGTCTAAAAATCTAAAAAAGCCTGACGATTTGATATTAGTTTTTCTTTAACATTAATTGGCTTGCTATGGGCTTATTATGAGTTACTGTAAGTATTAGTTCACATCGAAAATATAGTAAAACTAGACAGAGTGACACTCAAACAGAGATGCATACCGCCCGCTCAGCGACATTACACCATATCCATAATATCGACTCACGAACACCATCGAATACCCGACGATATATATCCAGTAGATCTGACATGTAGACGATGCTTGCTGCCTGCAGCTCCGCTCGTGCTTCGCTGCTCGCTCTCCTTATGTACCACGCATCGCTTGCTGATCGCGCTAAGATACGATCTGCCGCGAACAACTAACTACATCTACAACCGGCACGAACACAGTGTGGTTGTGCACAAGCACAAAACATAAGCTCCTCCAACTCCATTGGCGGAGGTAATTAAAACAGTATAATGCAGCAATTTTAACCATAAAGGTAACAATCTATATTGAATTACTTATATTATTTTTATTACTATGTACGGTGATGTAATCACTTTAAGACATTTCAGACACCTTTGAGATAGCAACCTAGCAGCAACATGAATGATCATGGGCAGTGCAACATTTATTCACTCACTCACTCAAGCACCCATCCAACCACCCATCCACTCACTCACAGACATCGGTGGTATAAATACCACCAACCTTATTTACTTATCTTTTCGTCCACTTCAAGTTTTGTTTACATAAATGGCGCTTGAATGCATTACTACTAGGTCCGTCTATTCTTAAAGATGATTTTTTCGAGGGCCATCATTGGAGCCTCAAATGTAAGAGAGATACAGCAGCAGCCGAGTATGCATCACCGCGATGCCAAGAAAATTGACCACCTGCAAATATAAAAGATTAGCTGGGTAGTGGCAGTCTAAGATGCCTCTAAGTTATCAAGCTTCTTTTTTTCAACAAATTTATGAAAGTTAAAACAAGCCCTGCAATATCACACTATACCCCACTTTTGCTAATCACACTCCATACCATGCTAAATCCTCAGTACATTTCAAGAATATTTTAATACTTTTAACATTCAAACATTTTAAATATTTTTACTTACATACCACTAGGTTGTGTTAAGCTAACAAATGTAGAGATCAATAAGCTTCTTCTTTCAGGGAAAACTACAGTCTATGTTGTGAAAGTCATCCCACTGAATTGTAGCAGTATATGCTTCCCATATATGCACACCAAGCAAGAAACGTCTGAATTTAAAGGCAGGTTAAAGGAATACTTGACTCTATGTTCTAGGGTTATTTTCAGTTGGTTTAGGTTAAAATTACGCTTTACTAATATACGTTTTATGGTCAACTATCTATTAGAAATATTTCAAAAAAATGTTTTACTACCAACGTCCGACAGCTATACCCGTTGCTTAAAAAAAAAAACAACGACGTGGCGCCACTGGTCAGGCACCCACTGGAAAAGTTGCGCAATGAGCAAGCGTTCGGCTGCAGGCTACAGACGCGAAGTGTTTCCTTATTTATAATTTAAGATGCAGAAGATTGCAAATCTCTATAAACAGACATATAATATGTTCAGTTATAATATGGATAAATTTGTCCTATAATGACACGTTCGATTTAAATGGTCATTAGGTTATATAATATAATGCACTTTTATGATTAGCACCTTCTGTCCTGTAACGTCAAAAATGATTTAGCAAATGCGCAACCTTTTCAATGTGGCAGCGCACGTCTGCGGGCATTGTCAGCGCCATAAAGAAGCCTTTCAAATTCAATTGTTTAGACAACATCGAATGCGTAATTATCAGTATTTATAGTATGTGTTATTGTTTATAAATCGACTATCATAATATACTCTCAAATTCTAGAGTAAAGTATTCCTTTAACGTGCAGCTACTTGCCCAGTGCCGTACAGCTGCCAAACATGGACCGATTTAAAAAGAAACGTTGACAATCTTCACAGAAACCTTTGCTGCCAAGAAAATACCAGAATAGCTTACCATCCAAGAATGAGTAAACATCACCAGCTCCCTGCGGCTGTAGAAGTATGCGTAGATTACAATTGGATGTACCAGGTAGGCACAGTAGGAGAGTCTGCTCAGAGGGATGAAGCCCTGCCATGATAGTATCGAGTTGATCACTCCTGTAATACGAAGAAACCAATAGTGTCTAGGAAACGTTGCCTTCCATGGTTAATGTTATGTTTTGGTGAACATTTATGGAATGTGCAATTATTTACATCCACACTAACATCGCAGTTATCACTGATAACAACCACACCCATATGGTAGCCTTTGGCAAGAAACCCTGCAGATTGTGTGAAATAATCTATTTATGAAGCATCTTTACTGGAATTCAGTAGAAGCAATGTTCCACAGCAAATGTGGAAAAGATGCGATTATATTACTCTACAGGACACACACCTGCATGCATGCTAGCATGCGATTTTTACTACACAAGCTTATTTACCAAGTTCAACCTTGTCTTAAAATGCAAAATGGACACTCATGTTACCTCCATATCCATGAATACAGTTGAGAAATGAGGAGTCCCAGACCAACTGACCAGGCGATTTCTACATGTGGCCGAGTAGAAAGCGACTTTCGCTGCCAGCATTGATTGCCGTGTAATAGCCATAAAGACCATACAAGTTGAAAGACAGAAGAAGGCTGCCAGCAGCCAACTTACTACCACCTGCCACTGTAATGAATCAAATTGTACAATGGATGAATCTTGAGTATGAAAGAGCAATTTGAGACAACTGTTTTTGCTAGATTACTCTTAGCTATGAGACTTACAAGAGAAACTTATGCAGACACTTTTCTTAGCTGTATCGAGATAAACTAGTAAATTTTAGCTCGCTTTGCATCGAATAAATAAAATTGTTCAAGTGCGACAAAAAGCAAACCTTTCTCATTCTGAAGTTTGCCCTCAGTCCTGTAGATGGCGTAACCAACTGCCATGCCAACTGCGTAAGCACCGACGCGACACCAGGGTTTAAAGTAGACTTTATCAAACATCTCTAGCACATGTACCATCGCATTTGGATCTCTGAAAAATCAAGCAAGTCATTAACAGCCACATTTATCATAAAAACCATCATTGTTTGTACATAAATCAAACATTTGAATCAAAAACCCAAAAAAGCATATGAAAATTGGTCTCATGTTAAAACCCCTGAATAGCAAGTCTATTCTCTCTCACAGGTATAATTGATAATAATGCAATAACAAACAATATATACATATCTATCAGCAAAACACACTCACTGCATGTCAGCGGGAAAATTTGGGGGAAGGTCATTAACTGCAACGATGGCACTAGTGACCGTGACGTGTAGTGCTATTAGACCGCCAATCAAACTCAGACCAAGATATGCCGACCTGTAACGTTAGAGGAAACAAGAAATGCAAGGTTACACCAATGTATATCAGCATTCAGGTGTTCATTCGACCCGATGAACACTGACGCTCTAGACTAAGTTACACGTCTAGACACTGTTGGTATATTGTTTTCTCACAGCACACTAAATTATAGCATTTATAAAAGTTCAGCAAAGAGCATATAAGCAAAGCAACACTCACTTGTATAGAGCAATCAAAATTATGGGACTTATCGCAAAGAACTGCATGTCGTTTGAGAGATACAGCTCCAGGCCATACACTAAAATGAAAAGAAAAACAAGTGCATAGGTTTTACATTTCAATATTGAATATCGCACTAAAAATATTCCACATATAAATAACATGAATATCATGGCTGATGTATTTAATATAGACACCTTACACAAATTTACAAATCCCACAATTTTAACTTTAATTCATAGCTAGACATTTAAAACATTAGTAATAGTCACCCATGTTACCATCCAACGAGGAGAACAGATGTTGATATACAGTATGTTTTTCCACCAGGAAGATCGGCAATTGTCTTTCTCTATACCATCTGAAGGCCACATAGGCGTCTGCAAAGTACTTGAACAGGCAAACATGAAGCCCCAACACCAACATATAGGGTGAGTCAACCTGTAGCAGCAATGAAAGCACGTATGAATTATGTAAATAATGGTCACTATGCAGCTACACGTATCAATGTAAATGGTACTAGACAAACAAACTAGAGGTAGAAGAATCCCTGTGTAGATATACAGTAAATTATTACAGTAACGTAGGAATATAATACTCTAAAGCCTAAGTATTTTTCCTTACCTCCAAAATCTATGAAGTAAAACATTGGTAGAGAGAGACGGGCATTGATCCTTTTGCCTTCATCTCCTTCAGGAACAAATAGGTGAGCAGCAAACCACTAAAGAAAGGACATTACCACAGTTTTGTACATCTGAGAATACATTCATACAGGCTTGTTCTTACATTTCGACCACTCTATGTGTCTATGCACCTACTATAACCAAATCTCTTTATATGTTACTCACCTCATAACAAAGAAAGAGTCGACTGAAAATGTGGCATTTAAAATTGTCTGGAACCAGAATGACTTTACACTGTTGCAAACGCCAGAGGGTTAGCTGTAAAGCACAAAAATCGAGCCATCAGATATAAAATATTAATACCAGCTAACTCCTCCTATTGTGACGTTGTGTACCTAATTGCAGTTATTTTTCCATTTTCGAAGACAACAGCTATATACTTAGAAGTTTACAAAGAAATTGCGTGAAGTGGAAAACAAGTTTCAAAGTAAAACAGAAATCATTACCTATTAGAGGAAGCGAGAATGCATAAGTGTGACCCAAAATTACCCAGCTAAGGCTGAGAAAGCGTATTCCATGAATGCACGTCAACTGTCCTGCAGTCTTCTTTGTTGACAGCAACTTGCCAAGATTTGTGTAGAGTGAGAAGCATAGTATAATCTTCAGACACATACCTAGCAAATACAAAACAACTGCTGGAAGAAAGAGCCCCAGCTGATAAAACTGACTATATTCAGTGCTAGGCGCAGATTCTTAAGCAGTAAGCTTCTGGAAATCTCTTGGTCTTTTCTTACTGAGCAGGGAAACTCTGTTGCACAATCACACATGGGATAGTAATTATAGGCAGCTGGCACTCAAAGAACGTTGCAGCAAGAGCTGCATGACAATAAAAGAGAGATTACATACTAGTCAAGATAATGATATAATGACCACGAGCCACCATGACAGCCATTTTTCATTTAGGCATAAAGGCATCGAAACTTCGGCACCATCACTCAATGTGGATACACTTACACTGACTTGCCAGGTAGTTCTCTGCAGTTAAACCTGCATCATCTGTCTTACTTAGCAGGGGTTTGTATTCAGTATCCTCCTCATAGGTATTGGCAGAAATCTGTGCTACAATGCGTTTTGCAACTATATGGTGCACAAAGACATCATACAGAGTTCCAACCATCAAGAGCAGCAAGAAGAACCCACACAGGCACCTAGGAGTAATATACAGCCCCCCTAATCTTCACCCAGATCAAGTTTTAGCTGTTAATTAAGACTGCAAATAGTGCACAAAGCCCAATGTAAAATTCTTTAAATTCTGTAAAATTATAATGATTATAGTGGGATTTCTATTTATCTAGAATATTTGTTCATAACATATACATTTAACACATAGCATGGTTTGAAATTAGCACACACACTTGCAAAATGTAATTGCAATGCCTAAATTGCAAATAGAAAATTTTATCCTTTAAATTAATAAATTTGAAAATCCAAATAGATTCTAACTTATCATGAGCAAATGCAAGTTGTTTCAAAAGTTATAATCTAACCCTCATTGGTAAACTCACATGCAAATAATGCCCTGGCATCAAACTCTTGCTCCTCCTTACAGTAGACATGTTTCACATCCAGTGCATTAGGTGGCACCACATACAGTGCTGAAAGAGAAGTATAAAAATAAGTTTGAAAATTATGAGCCAACAACAACTATATGCACTTTATATCTATCAAATAAAACCTTACCTGATAAAGAATGCTGCCTTGACATCTACTCATACACAATCTGTAGACGCAGACACCATACGTTGACTATTGATCCCTCCTTCCTGCTCATACGGCAAGAATCCCTGAAAGAATATTAAATCTAAATGCTGACGGGCATCTGCAGCTATACAATCAAAATTAAACATTAATACATTATAGAAATTTACATACCGCCATACTTAGAAACTTACCAACTGAACTTTCACTTTCGAATGGCGTCAATTGTTAAGCAGTACTTGCATGAAAGCTTTGGAACTCTGAGCGAGAGAGTTATTCCCACTTCCACAGCAATAATGCTCTGCATTCATCGTTACTCTAGCCAATAAATGCTCCCCTGAACAGACCAACAGGTGATTTGCTCTGCATCGGACTGATCGAGAATAAAAGGTAGCTACAGGTAACTAAATATTATTGTTACTGAAAAGTAATAAAGTCTATGAGTAAACATAACAGAAAGATAAGATCCAGGCCTGCGGGCCTTTGCAACATTCAGGCACGTTATACCTCGAAGTCAGACACTATAACAATTAAATGGTGCACCAAGTAAAATAGCAACTGAATTTGTCTACGGTCTGGCTTCCTGTATTCTAAACCGTGGTTTAATCATTGAAAGCTTACGCTGCTTCCTACAAGATTTCTTTTTACACAGATGTATTTTCCACTGAATTCTTGTTTAGTCTAAAATAAGAACAACTATGATGATAGGGACAAATGGCTTACTGTAATTATATATACTAGCATTTATTTTTAACTTCTCCTGTGCTTTCTGTGCAACATATAATGCCATGCCGTTGATATGTGACAGGGGCTGTCTTACAGTGAGGTTGTGCCTACCCAACATCCTCATTGTAATATGAGAGCAAAATTTTTACAGTTGTCATTTGACGAAAACTAACTGTGTCTTTGCCAAAACCTTACGAGTTAGTGAGACAATTCGGACTCAACTCCGAGACCGTTCAGACCAGCTCCTCTTGAAGTGAATAAAGTATTACTTCTGGAATGTTATATAGCGCAAATGTCTACCCTTAATGTTTAATTTATGTAAGGCAGATCACTACGTGTGTTGACCAAATTTTGAAATGTAAGAAGCTGTGAATGCTGAAATAAATGGGCAAGTGTAACTCCACAGGATTTTTTCTGAAAAAAAAAAAATATTATTGCATCCAATTACATTTTGTTATATGATGTCATTCCGAGTGCGATAATCATTTCAACTAATATATGAAATTTTGAAAAATGTGTCTGGGTTTAAAATGTGTTGCTTTATATCATGGCCTCTGATCAGCACATAAAGCAACGCAAATTAAATAATTTACATTATAGATATTACGTAGCATTTAGACACTCAGTTAGCCAAACCTCCCTCGATTGGAGACTGACTGGCTTGCGCGCCTTCTTTGTCAAATATCGACATAAAACAGCTCACAGCATCGAATAATTTGGTCAGAGCAATGTTTGCTCACCGGTACGATACCTTACACCAGTCCAATACACTCTCGCATATTGGTCTGATCGATATTTACTGCGTACCCACGTTACGGACGCATGCTAGTTAACAGCCATCGGGTTGACATAGCTTGGTAATAGCCAGGTATTGTTAGCCTTTAGCCGAATGCACTATAGTGTCACAGCCAGTTTTTTTGCCCTCAGTGTCTTTTTGTCCCATTGGCCTTAGTATTTTGAGAACGGCCATTTTTACGTGTCATTCCGATCCCACGGGAAACATTCACANCAAAAATAATATTTTAGTATAACCCCTGTAGGTACCTTTTAATTTTCTCGATTCAGTCGCCGATGCAAGCAGCAAAAGCCACCTGCTGGTCTGTTGCAGGGAGCATTTTACTTGGCTAGGAGCGTACGATGAATGCAGGAGCATTATTTGCTGTGGAAGGTGGGAATAACTCTCTCGCTCAGCTTCCAAAGTTTCATGGCAAGTACTGCTTGTCAACAATTGGAACGCCATCGAATGTGACATCTTCAGTGGTAAGTTACTAAGTATGCAGCGTATCGTAAATTCTATAATGTATCGTAAATTTTGAATTGTACAAATAGCTGAGTGCCGTCAGCATTTAGATTTAAATATTCTTTCAGGGATTCTTGCCAGGTATGGCACAGGAAGGAGGGATCAATGTCAACTATGGTGTCTGCGTCCCAGACTCGTGTAGTGAGGAAGATGTCAGGCAGCTTCTTTATACAGGTAAGGTTTTATTTGATAGATATAAAGTGTATATTGTTCTGAAAGTAATAAGTCTATGAGTAAACATAACAGGAAAGATAAGATCAGGCCTGGCGGGCCTTTTGCTAAGCAGTTGCAGGCACGTTAATCTCGTAGTCTAGTCACACTATACAATAAATGGTGCACAAGCTAAAATATGCAACTGAATTTGCTACGTGCTGGCTTCTCATGAAACCCGTGGTTTAATCAGGAAAGCTTCCGCTGCTTCCCTACAAGATTTCTTTTTTACACAGATTGATTTTCCACTGAGATTTTCCTTGTTAGTTAAAATAGAGAAAACTATGATGAAGGGACAAATGCTTACTGTAATATATAGTACTAGCAGTTGTTGTTACTCTCCTGTTGCTTTTTTGTGCAACATATATGCAATGCGTTGGTTAACTTGGTTTATGTGACAGGAGCTGTTTTACAGGATGAGGTTGTTGGCCTTACTCCAACATCCTCATGTAGTGATGGAGGACCAACCAATTTTTACAGTTGTCAGTGACTGAAACTAACCGGTGCTTTGCTCAAGCCTTTACGAGTAGTGAGTGACAAGTCGGGACTCAAACCTAGACCGTTCAGCCAGCTCTTATGCAAGTGATATAAGTATTACTCCTGGGAATGTTAGTAGCTGCAAATGCTTACCAGTAATGTTTATTTTTTATTGTAAGCAGATCAGACCAAATTTTGAAATGTAAGAAGCTGGTGAATGCTGAAAATAAATGGGCAAGTGTAACTCCACAGATTTTTTTCTGAAAATATTATTGCAATCCAATACATTTTGGTTATATAATGTTCATTCTGAGGCGATAATCTTTTTCAACTAATTATATTGAAATTTGAAAAATCTGTCTGGGTTTAAAAGTGGTGTTGGCTTAATTCTATCGATGGCCTCTGGATCAGCACATGAAGCTAAACCAAATTAAGTTAATTACATTAGAGATATTATGACCAGCAGTTAGACACTCTCAGTTTAGCCAAACCCCCTCGAGTGAGACTGACTGGGCTTGCGCGCCTTCTTTGTCAATATTGACAATAAACAGCTCACAGCACGTAATATATTGGCAGTGCATGTTGCCCACGTACGTATACCTTACACAGTCCAATACCCTCGCATATTTGGTCTGGATCTGGATAGTTTACTGCGTAGCCCACGGTTACGTGGACGCAGGGCTATAGCTAGCCATGGGGTGTGACCTAGCTTGGGTAAAGCCAGGTAGTTAGCCTTTAGCCGAATGGCACTGAGGGTGGTCACAGCCAGTTTTTTTGCGCCCTCAGTGGTTCTTTTATGTCCCCATTGGCCTTAGTATTACTGGAGACGGGACAGCCATTTTACGTGGTCATCCGATCCACGGGAGATTCACAGTCTCTAATGTTGAGAGCCAGGTTGTTACACCTTGAGAAAATTCACCGCCCCGACCGGGGTTTGAACTCACAGCCTTCAGTGGACAGTGTACAAGGCCTAACAACTGCCGCACTGGGCCACGGAGGCTCTCTTTTGGTATGCTGGAATTTACATGTACTCGCAGTAAATGACTTTAAATTCTTAATTAGAGAGACCGAAGTTACTACTTACACTGGAAAGCCCAGAGCTGCTTTTCAAGCATGGCATCGAGTATGGTTAATGTGTGATTCATGCAGACCGCTGATACGTTATATGTCGGTTCTGCTGGAGTAATGGTGCTTCCATTAATGACTGTAATATCAACTTCTTCTAATTGTTCTGTTGCTGTAGTTGAAATGATTTTGTAGACCTTTGACAGATTTGGTACTAACGCTGAGAGTGACACATCTTGCAGTTGCTGTGTACTCAATGAACCTTGTTTGCTATTCCAAAGCGTCGATAAAATCTGTTCTTGATATGATGGTGCAATGCAAACTACGCCATTGAAAGAAATACAGACAATCGCCAGCAGCAAAGCATAAGATTTCCTAAATATAGGCAACATATCAAAGGTTTTCAGCCTTCTTCCTTGAAGTTGAATGATGACTGATTATAGAACTTGCACAGAATCTGAGGTTTTGTCTTGTGACTTTCGGCTGCTTCCGCCGGTTCGCGCGACCGCCTCGCTGTACTGCAAGATCGGATTCTCTATAGTTATTGCTGGGCAGTACGTACGCTGACACTTGTGCCCACAGACTATGGTACGCCACACCGCCCCACCACGGCCGTTTCAGGCGTGCAGTACATACTTAAGAAAACTGCATAATATATAGCTTTCTGAGAGGGAGAAAGAGAGGGAGGGGTGGGAGACTGAGGATAGGCGGCAGGAAAGATAGCTGAGGGGCTTTAGAAAAAGAAGGAGGCTGAACGAGGGACAAGAGAGGCAAGGAGAATGACGGGGGATGAAGTAGAAGTTTTGCACCCTACATGCTAGAGCGCTCTCCTAATTATAAACACAGGTCTACTGATAACAATTTATTACATAAACCTATGCTGAGATACCCCCTGACCATATTAAATGCATATTCGTCACAAAATATAACTCGTTCAGTAAGATATTGCGCATGCGCTAACACTAACGTAGCCAGATTGTGTAGGCATGGTATATGGAACGGGCAGCTTACATGCAAGGTCTTTTTCTTATTTCTTAAGAGAGGTTTACTGATGGAATGTTATCATATAAATCTATGCTAGAATACCTATTCTCCATTTTAAATGCATAATTTTAGCAAAATAGTATTCTCGGGAGATATTGCGCATGTGCGAGCACCGTTTCAGGCGTGCAGTACGGACTGAAGAAAACTGCATAATATAGGTTGCTGACAGATAGAGGGGTGGGAGATTGAGGAAAGGCGGCAGGGGAAATAGCTGAGGGGCGGTAGAAGAAGGAGGTTGGGCGAGTTACAATGGAGGCAAAGGGAAGGACGGGAGGGGATGAAGTAGGGATGAAGTTTTGCGCACTACAGCTAGGCTTGGGCGCTCTCCTAATTATAAACGCAGGTCTACTGATAACAATTTATGACATAAATCTATGCTGAGATACCCCCTGACCATATTGAATGCATATTCATCACAAAATATAACTTACGAACTTTACTCATTACAAACGCACACGCGCGCGGGTGTGAGCGGCGCACGCACGAACACACGCACGCACACACGCAATCACGAAGACTGCTGCCTAGAATGCCCTAGATCACCGCAAGCGAGAGAGAGCTTGCCTGATCTCGGCTGTGCTGTCACGATATATATCCCACTGGATGGAAAGATGAAATATGTATAGACGTATATAATTTTATAGAAAGATAGATAGATATCTGATGAATTGTGTCATGGTAACTGGAAAGACTTTCGCATGGAATCGTGGTGGTTCAATCGGCGGCACACAGATCACCTGCATGAGCTAAACGGTCAGCTACTGTTCCGTTCATCTCTCTCTATTAACGGACCGCTTGCGACGTAAACTGATAGTCCAGCATAAATGTCGGCCCAGACGAGAATCGATAGAGCGACGATTGAACTATCGTTCACCCCCCGGTCACGAATTAACGAACCAGCCAATCGATCATCGTCGGTCGTTCGTATTAAATAAACACTAGCTATTACCCGTCCTCCAGACGGGTTTGAGTGGGGTCTGTTTAGAGGATGGCGGTTTAACCATTTATCTCTCACTTATATTTGAGGATGTATTTACAGTAAACGAAAAATACTGATATTTAGACTCGAGTCATATACCAATATTTGTTTAAAAAAAAATGTATCTAAATATATATAAAATCTGAAATTTTACCTTAAAATAACATGCAATTTTTCAAAAAAGGGAAATGGGGTGATTTCATAGTACAATTTCACTTATTTAGATATTTTTGAAAATATCATTCTGGTTCATCAGAAGCATCAATAATAAGTCAAATTCGTAGGTTCTTAGGTTCTTCAATTCTTAGGTTCTTAGGTTAAATTCTTAGGTTTGGATACGCGGACGTTTCTCGCCGTAAACTGTTCAAGATCTCTCGAGCAATTCGGCTTGATTTCATCGCGTAGCAGCGGTTGTGTGATCTCGACACGTAACCACCCTAACGCTGTGCAAGCAAAGCGTATTTCTAACTGTATGTATCAAGCTGATGTAGTTTTTCTACCACTATACACGTGGGCGTACATTCAATTCTAACTACGTGCGTACGTGTACGTATATATACGAATACATTTTCTATCTCTATGCATACTAACTAAATGATTTTAACCATACGTTTTAGAAAAAACGCGTTTACTCTACGAAGTTTCTCTTAAAAATGTAACCTTACAGCGTTACAGATTTTACGCAAGAAAAACCTTTCCAGTGCCGTAGGGGGCCGTACAAGCTGAGCAAATTTCTAGGTGGGGGGGGGCAATTTTCATGACTCAACTGTGTAATGATGAGCGACGGGCGCAGCTCTTGATCGACGTCTATAGTGTGGTAGGGGTGCGGGGTCTGAGACAAGGCTTTCACGGATAAGTGACCAAGAAATCACGTTAGGGTTATTTACGACTAAATTAGCTGAGCTTATTATTTAATTGTGCTCCAAAATCTAGGGGGCGACCTAAGTAAGAAGCTGGGCGGGTGCTGAAAGTGAAAGGGTGAGGAGCGAAAGATAGTGAGGAGGAGGAAGAGCATTAGCATTCAGCATTACCGCGTATGGTGAGATAGAGAGAGAGAGAGAGAGAGAGAGAGAGAGAGAGAGAGAGAGAGAGAGAGAGAGAGAAAGCGAAAGAGTTGAACAGAGAGGGATAGAGAGAAGAAAGAAGGTCACGTGGAAAAATTGCTAGGTAGCAAGGGCTACAATATGTGGGATAATTGGCGAGTAATGGAGATACTACTATTACGTCCGTAAACAATGTAAATGCTTCTACAATAATTAATCTAGCCTTGATCGTAGTTATCGTGTCACGCACGTCAGAAACGTGCACGAGAATAGATACAATATTATGATATTTGTTAATGGATTTCGAAAGTCGATTCGAAGCAAAATATCAACCGTAATAAAATTGATACAGGTAATCGGAGGCCGTACACTTCTCCTCACATTTCTCATTGCAGAGCTCTGCTAAGCCTGTGGCCTAGCTTGCTGCATCCTGGAACATTCCCATCGTATCCTGGGTGGGACCAGGGGTTTGGCGACAAAGTCATGCACAGCACCATGACGAGAACCCTAGGCCCGTTCAGAAAGCTCGGCCAGTTCCTTCTCGACGTATTCGAATTCTACGGCTGGGAAATAGTCGGTGTTTTCTCTTCTAACTGGCTGCTGTGTGTAGGACAATGCTTCGCGAGCTATCAAGCTTGGTATGATCGTGTGTTAGAGATGCTGCTTCACGTACATAAAGGCAAATATGTACACAGAAGCAAGCACACACGCAACAGAACTTTAGATATTAATACCTCTACCCATTATCCTTATTCGGCACGTCTTTTAATTCGAAATGTTAATGCTAATGCTTCTATTAGAATTGACAATGCCTATAGGCGATCAAACTGAACATTGTGTAATCTTCTGTTCCTCAGCTGTCATGGCTGTAAATACTACATCATAAATTTGTGAGATGTTTGTTATATTACTCGCGTATGTTGATGCTTGAATGCGCAGGAATTGCCTATTGCTGAGCGAATTTCTACACAAATACAGCTACGTCGTATACATCTGTGTGGAGGATTACACAAATCATCCATCTTCCTAATGTTAGACTATTTTGTGGAGATCGGGAAGTTGGCAGTAGTTAGTAGGCAGTAACGCGGGTAGAATGTATGCACTGAGTAGTATAAGGTCGGTGTGTAAACTCACTTTCATTCACACGCTTAAGGGTAGCATGATGACCTACGATTAACCGTGATAACGCGGCGAAATATCACATGTAATTACACCCCCAGTAATCAGTACAAGGGACAATGGTGAGGGATAGTCAAAGCCACCATTGTCCGGGCGAGTTGATAGACAAGCACGCACTGATGATTCTCACGGCACTTCTCTTTTTAAATTACTAGCAACGATTTAGCAGCGAGTAAAGACTAGAGGTGACAATTACGCGCATAGTAATGATAGTGCCATAGTTTTGAGATGTATCTCATCTCGACAAGGCCAAACCAGGCAAGGCCGTACAGCAAAATTACCTAATAACCAGTTGGTTGTTTGAAAGCTCCCAATGGCACAGTTTTGTTTTGTTTGGATTTTATATATTACCGTACGACACAGAAGTATATGTTGTCTGTATTAAAAGTTTAAAACAATGTAGTGTTTCCTCGTTCGCGGCTGGAAAAATTAGGTCAGCAAAGAATACGCAAAGCTGCTATGAGCGAAAGTATACTCACCGAAATGAGTCGAATTTATATGACTTACGTATATGATTTTCAATAGTGACAGAAGCAACACTTGTTTGTAAGTGAATTTGTCTTCATAAGAATGGGATTATTGTTCTCGCTAAACTATTTTCGCTGCACGCATCCGTCCGCCCACTCGTCTTTACGTGAACAACCAGAATGCACCTGATAATCACAGAAGGATTGAGATCAGGATACACATAGAGAGACACCCGGCAATTGTTAAGATCGCGGAATAAGAAATTGGGTCATGGAAGTTGCGAGCGATTTAAAAGGGAGAGAGTCGGATGCATGGATCACTCATCTTCTAGCATCTGCAGCTTCAGCCACAGGTAAGAATAGTTTGTCACATCGTGTAGTAGTAGTAGCAGTAGCTGTAGTAGTATCTAATCAAGAGTGGATAATAGAGACTATCTCTATTATCCATATGAGATCTATCTCATAGAGATCTATAGAGATCACCATAGAGATCACCATAGAGATCTATCTCTATTATCCACTCTTGATCTAATGTAAATACCAGAGTGTGAGCTTGCGCTCAGCACGTCGTTCTATTACTAGTATCGTGTAGAATGCTTGCATGATATTAGTTGAGTGACTACACGACTGTTCTGAACATGTCTTCACTTTTGTCGTTGCAGTAGCTTTTTAAATTTTAGAGCCGCAAAGCAGCAACCTGATGTTACGATATATGTTATGGACATTTTTCACTTTTCAGAACGACCCAACCCACAAAAAAACCAAAATGAAGACCTACGTTGCAGTTCTCCTTGTTGTCGTGGCCGTAAGTTAAACATCTACTACAAATTTCACGTTCNCTGATTATAGAACTTGCACAGAATCTAAGGTTGTGTCTTGTGATTTCCGCCGGTTCGCGCTACCGCCTCGTTGCAAGATCGGATGCTCTATAGTTATTGCTGGGCAGTACGTACCATAGAAATCGCAGCCGGTTATTGGGCTGCGATTTCTATGGTAGGTACGCCCACACTTGCGCCCACAGACTAACGGATCCGTTAGTCTGTGGTACGCCACACCGCCCCACCACGGCACTGATCTCTATAATATAATCGATTATATTATAGAGATCAGTGCACCACGGCCGTTTCAGGCGTGTAGTACATACTTATTAAGAAAACTGCATAATATATAGATTCCTGAGAGGGAGAAAGAGAGGGAGGGATGGGAGACTGAGGAAAGGCGGCAGGGGAGATAGCTGAGGGGCTTTAGAAAAAGAAGGAGGCTGAACGAGGGACAAGAGAGGCAAGGGGAATGACGGGGGATGAAGTAGAAGTTTTGCACCCTACATGCTAGAGCGCTCTCCTAATTATAAACACAGGTCTACCTTTAACAATTTATTACATAAACCTATGCTGAGATACCCCCTGACCATATTAAATGCATATTCGTCACAAAATATAACTCGTCCAGTGAGATATTGCGCATGCGCTAACACACTAACGTAGCCAGATTGTATACTGACAGATATATGGAACGGGCAGCTTACATGCAAGGTCTTCTTCTTATTTCTTAAGAGAGGTTTACTGATGGAATGTTGTTATATAAATCTATGCTAGAATACCTATTCTCCATTTTAAATGCATCATTTGAGCAAAATAGTATTCTTCTCGGGAGATATTGCGCATGTGCGAGCACCGTTTTCAGGCGTGCAGTACGGACTGAAGAAAACTGCATAATATAGGTTGCTGACAGATAGAGGGGTGGGAGATTGAAGAAAAGCGGCAGGGGAGATAGCTGAGGGGCGGTAGAAGGACGGGAGGGAATGAAGTAGGAATGAAGTTTTGCGCACTACAGGCTTGGGCGCTCTCCTAATTATAAACGCAGGTCTACTGATAATAATTTATTACATAAATCTATGCTGAGATACCCGGCCCCTGACCATATTGAATGCATATTCATCACAAAATATAACTTACGAACTTTACTCATTACAAACGCACACGCGCGCGGGTGTGAGCGGCGCACGCACGAACACACGCACACACGCACGCACACACGCAATCACGAAGACTGCTGCCTAGATAACCGCAAGCGAGAAAGTGCTTGCCTGATCTCGGCTGTGCTGTCACGATATATATATATATATATATATATCCCGCTGGATGGAAAGATGGAATATGTATAGACGTATATAATTTTATAGAAAGATAGATAGATATATGAGGAATTGTGTCATTGTAACTGGAAAGACTTTCGCATGGAATCGTGGTACGGGGCGCCATGCAGGACAGGGCTCAATTCTGTCGAACCGGTTCCGCAAAACTCAATTTTGTAAACACAAAACTCAATTCTGTCGATGCGTCGACGGCAGCTGGAGGAAAGCAGGTGTGGTAGCGCAATGAGTATTGCAATGCCATCCAGCAATACCACATTGAGGTTGGCAATATCATCCAGCAGCACCGCATAGAGGATTGCAATACCGTCCAGCAGTACCACATAGAGGATTGCACTAACGCACAGCAGTACCACATAGAGGATTGCACTAACGCACAGCAGCGCGATGCAACGCGAAAGTCATATCATGCCCAGATGAACGTAATGGTTGAATGCTCACTGACGATTTGTGATTGACAGGTTTAAGAATTATTTACTAAATTCAATCCATTAGTCGTCATCCAAAGCACAATGATATTAGATAGGATATATATGTAATTATCATAGCAGTACCGAAGTAGTGACGTCACGTGTAGGCAAAGACAAAACGGCACGCAGCGGATGGTGCTACACAAGGCGCAACGGCGCTGGCCATGAAGGGTTACTGCGGTGAAAAATGTTGTGCGGTCAAGTAAAGACACCGAAGGGTGTGTCGGACTGCAGGACCGCGGGTAAAGCACTGGGGGAGAGGGTAGCAAGATGCGAATCTTACAATATTAAGAAGTTGTAAAAAAATTAAATTTTTTTCTTATTAAATTTTTTGATTTGTTAATTATTTTTGATTTTTTTTGTTGCTTTTCACGTTCCCCTTTGAAATCGTATAAAAAACTTCGCAGATCAATGGAACTCTCGAGGGGAATGATGGTACAAGCGAGAAGGTACAACACGACACGCTAGTTAATGTTACCAGAGCATATGATTGTGATAGAACAGCGAGGCTCGTTGTCATGGGCCACCGGTGAACGTACGATCACTTCTACTCTATTAGTACGTTAATATAATAATTAAGGAGGAAGTAGACTAGGATTTCTGCAGTACAACTGTACTTGCGGTGATATAAACAAATCGTCTATACCACACGTGATTTGTACCAGAGTACCTATTTAAGTATTTGATAAATAATTACACATCAACACTACAGAAATTTGAACGGCGCCAATGACACCGCGACCGTGCTGCACGCCCGCGAAAAGTTGCGTATGGACTTATTTGACGTTACAGACCGAGAGCTAATACACAAAACGTGCAATGATATATATACCTAAATGCTAGTATTAACCGAGACACGATTTCATTTCGTTAGGAGGCAAATTTACCATATTATAACTGGAAACTATATGTCGTTTGATAAGATATCTTTACGTATCACAATCTTGTTGCCTTTAAGAGATGAATAAATGGATCAAGAAACACCTCGTCTACGATAGCCCTTGGCTGAAAAGTGGTTCTGCGCAACTATAGCAGATCTGAGCTTTGAGTGCCACGGTGTGTATCAACTGTAGTCGGTTAGTTTTAAAACAGTTATTCTAATATATTTCTAATGGTGAATGAACCGAGTGAAACTTCTATGGTAGAGCGTAAGATTGTACCTAAATTAACTGAAACATAACCCTAGAACCTAAAGTAAAACAATCCCTTTAAATATACGTTAGGCGTGTATGGGTGAGATTTTTTAACTTGTGTAATTTGAATAGATTTATAATATGACATCATTAATGGTGCAATGCTTAATCCTTCATTATTTCACGCCTTGTGTGATGATTTCAAGTAAATAATTTGAAAGTTGTAACAACAGACGAATTCAGCGACAAGGCAGATTTGATTACTACTTGATTTACTTATTCCAGTTAGCAGTCCAATACGAATCCTCATAATCTTAACGTATCATAATCTTTGAAGTATCGGTAAGTAGTCAGCCAATCATTTCTCTTATCAATGTCAAGTGCAACTATGGAATCTTGGCTGCAGGTAAACCCATTCTTGTGTTTATAGTAAATATACTTTAAACAATTATTGTATTTACTATTTGTGTTTGTAACTGCTTTTTAATTAATCACGTTCATGATCTGATTGTTTGATATGACTGCGATCAATCTGAGATACATTTCGGGCGTGCAAACACTATTGGAAAGATACTTATATACTACAGAGAATGGATTCAGTATGCACAAAACCACCTATGTATACAGATTAGCGTAATTAAACACATAATAATTGTGATACCGTTGTCGAAAATCTTTTCGTAAACTGTAATAAATCCTAAACATATATATATTTTTTGTTTTCCCTGAGCCTAAGGGCTAGTCTTCTTATACTATAGATTATATTCTACTTATGTGCCAAGAGAGTTTAAATCATTGCATTTCATTGTGATTGCGTATGAAACTAATAAAAATATTATCGCGGTACAAATACATATTCCCTATGTTACAATGCACTTAGCGATTTAAGGGCGGGGCACAGACGCACGTGCCGCCCCCCCCACATTTTGGGTGCCCCACCATTTAAGTATCCAATAATTACAAAACTGTCGTAATTGTGCATCACAAAATTCTTAGCATGTAACGTTGAAGTGATGCGTTTCCCATGGCCTGTTCCTCTGACTGATTTTGCTGTTCAGCTGAAGGACAACTTTCCCTAGACCGCAATTGCTCTGAGAATTCTCTTTCATTGATGGTCTCGAATTGTAGCGGTGAAAGCTCATTTTTAAAACTCAAAGTGATTAAAATCACATGAGAAACACGATTGAGCCAACAGAGACCTGTAAAACCTCAGTATTCTCGCCTTATCGAAAGTGACTTTTAAAGTTGTTGAAACACGATGAAATACTCTCTGAATTTGCAAGCATGAAAGCTGCACAGCGAAAAATACAGACTATAGACGCCCCCACAATTGCGTGCTCGGGCCCCCACACGCTTAGTCGGCCCTGGTTTACATGGTATAATATGCATCACAAGCGTAATTTATGATCCATCCAAGGTATGACATCATCCATATTAAATGACGCGCAGCGCGTGTTTTAAAACTGTTCACTGATCTAAACTTGCTGCTACTATATTCCATTCCTCTATGCGGCGTTAGTGGGCATCCTCGATGTGTAATTGCTGGGCGGCATTGCAATCTTTCTATGTGTATTGCTGGACGCCTATTTGCATCCTCTATGGATTACTGCTGCCGACGCATTGCCAATCCTTCTATTGCGGTACAGCTGTGCTTAGTGCATTCTCTATGTGGTATTGGCGACCGTATTGCCAATCTCTATGCGGTACTGCTGTGTGTTAGTGCAACTCTATGCTGATACTGCTGTGCGTTAGTGCAATCCTGCGATGCGGCTACGGGCTGTGCGTTAGTGCAATCCTCTATGCGCGTATTGTGGACGATATTGCAATCCGCTTGCCGTATTGTCTGTGCGTTAGTGCAATCCTCCTATGCGCGTATTGTTGGAACGATATTGCAATCGCTGTGGTATTGCTGTGCGTTAGCTCCATCCTCGAATGTGGTTATGCTGACGCAATTGCAATCCTCTGTGGTATTGCCTGTGNGGCCTCCCTACTCCCGCTTCCTTCCCATCCCGCTCCCTGCCCCCTTTTCTCCCGTCTCCCGCCCCTCCTCTCCCGTCTCCCGTCCCCCCTTCTCCCGTACCCCCGCCCCCTGTACCCCCTCGATGGTCGCCATCCGCACCATTCCCCTCCAGGTGTAGCCCTTCTTCTTGAGTTCCGCCTCCGATTCTCGCCTCCAGGTTACTTTAGGCCTTCCTACCCGACGTCTTCCTTGCGAGTTCCAGCTCAACAGGGTTCCTCCTCCTTCCCTTGCGGCCTTGAAAGGAAATGGGAAAATATATACTAATGTACATACAAACACACACACGCACACGTGCACATACACACACGCGCGCACACACGCCATAAAATGCCCTTTGATCGAGAGAGTCTAATAGACTCCGTACCTAGAAAAAGAGGGCGTGTGCAATAAAATTAGGTGTTAGGATGCTAGCTGTGGAAAGGAATCGGCTTAAGTTGAGCCTATAGAATAGGAGATAAACTGGATTGTCACACAGCGCTATTACATAGACGGGATATTAACTTTCGCATGTCTATACATATGTATATAATACATGTCACTCTCACGCATATGTCTCTATACCTATATATATATACATATATATATATATACACAAATATATATTATATTATATTATATATAATGTGAAATGTACACAGACACATATATTATATACTTATGTATATAGAAATGCGAAAGTTAGTTGCCCGTCTGTGTGATGGCGCTCTGACCAAGGCACGATACCTACTAATTGATAGAATGATAAATTAGGTCAAGATTAGGCCCTACGAAGGGCTGCTATAGCGAAAGTATTACTCACCGAAATTGAGTCTAGTTTTTAGTGACAGAAGCAAACACGTGTTTGTTTGTTAATTTTCTTTTATAAGAATGGGATTATTGTTCCCTCTATACTATTTTCGCTGCACTGACGCATCCATCCGCCCACGTGCGCCAACTTGATAATCAGTGTTGATATGTGGTATAGCAGAGGAGAAGAGAGAGAGACGAGACGAGAGCGAGAGCGCGAGATAGAGAGCAGAGAGAGACGAGAGAGAGAAGAGGAGAGAGAGAGAGAGAGAGACACGGCGCGGTTGAAAGCGCGGAATAAGAAATTGGGTCATGGAAGTTGCGAGCGCTTTAAAAGAGAGAGAGAGTCGGATGCATGGATCACTCATCTTCTAGGATCTGCAGCCTCAGCCTCGGGTAAGAATAGTTAGTCACATCGTGTAGTAGTAGTAGCAGTAGCTGTAGTAGTATCTAATGTAAATACCAGAGTGTGAGCTTGCGCTCAGCACGTCGTTCTATTGCTAGTATCGTGTAGAATGCTTGCATGATATTAATTGACTGACTACACGACTGTTCAGCATATGTCGTCACTTTTGTCGTTGCAGTCGCTTTTTAAATTTTAGAGCTATAAAGGAACAACCTGATCATGTTACGATATATGCTATGGACATTTTTCACTTTTCAGAACGACCCAACCCACAAAAAACTCAGCCAAAATGAAAGACCTACGTTGCAGTTCTCCTTTGTTGTCGTGGCCGTAAGTTAAACATCTACTACAAATTTCACGTTCTTTCTATTTTTACATAGAATATTATATAATATTCTGGAATGTTTTGGCGTGCACTTACTATATTGTTCATTCTCTGTATTCAACTGGTGAGAAATGAGAGAGAAGCGATCACGTACCAGAGAACATTGTAAATAAAACCAATGCCGTCCACGTGATACATAACGCGTAAGCATGCACTGTTTGTTATACAGATGCTCGGCCTAGCTGCTGCCGCTGGCGGCTACGGAGGATACGGCGGATACGGGGGATACGGCGGATACAGGGGTGGATACGGGG